CTTTCCGTTCTTGAGTTATTTCAAAAATACTCACGGTCACTATATTTTTGGACAGGTATTAGTGTCTGAAACTCTTCATTACATAATAAAAGTAACAGTGAATAATGTAGTATGTGTCAAGTAGAGAGAAAAAAAAAAATTTTTTTAATAAAATGTTCTTTCGAGATTTCATTGTTTCGAATAGTCAAAAATAACTTTTTTTTAGTATTCTAAAAACTTAATTTTACTATTTAAAAAAAATGTATCAATACTTACTTAACTTAATTCTATCACCCCATAGAAAACCACCATTGTACATTGTTTGATCTGATGTTGTTTTATAAAGTATAAATAAATCAAGTTTACTATCTCCATCATAATCAGCTGCTAATGCATCATAAATAATTCCTCTATATAAACAAGACATTTATAAAAAAAAAAAAACAATTTCATTACATTATTTAATATCTTTACATACGTTATATTAACTATATATTGTACTTTCGATGTTGGTGATCGATCATCATTAAGCATAACTCGAATACTATTACCTTGTGTATTTCGACAAAATATATCAATAATTTTATCGGCATTAAAATCTCCAAATGCTAATGGTATACAATCATCGATAACAAAATTTTTTTTATTACTAAATTGTCCATCAAATACATGTTTTTCATTACCAATATCATTTAAAGATTTTTTTGTATCAGCATTTATACCATTAATAATAAAATTAATGATCAATAAATAACAAAGAATTATTGATCGATGTAAAAAACGAAATTTATTATCATAATTCATATCATCTAGGAAACAACAAAAATTTAATTCATAAAGTTTTTTTTTTTATAATTATTTTGGATATATATATATTATGTAGATCATTTAAATATGAAATCAAAGAGAAAAATTTCTTTGCAAACAATACTATTTGATTTTAATTGAAGTTGGAAAAAAAAGTAAATACTATCAGATAAAAACAGCTAAACGAACGATGCAGAATCAAAAAACAGTTCTTTGCATGCATATGACTGGCTACTTATCTTTATCGAATGAAAAAATATCAGAAAAAAACATATGTTCAAATATATAAATAGCATAAGATTTACTAAAAATATTTCACAATGATTTGATTGTACCATTGAAATTCAATATTTGTTATTATTCACAGATTGAATTAGGTATATAAGTGACATCTATCTAGAAGATTTACAATAAAGAAAGATAGACTATCTATCAAACATAAGATTGATTAATTTACTCTTGATACGTGCTTATATTGTTTTTTAGAACGTACTCGATTCGATTTATTGAACTTAATCATTCCATATGAAGTTTTATTCGTTCATCTATTGTGTAACATGTAAAATTATGTTTAATTTAAAGCTTATGATTTCGTCAACTCGGAATCTGAAATTAGAAAAATAAAAATACAAAGTATAAAATATATTTATTTGAATAATTTTACATAATTAAATTCTGACTTTGGTGAATCAATTAGTATGTTTTATGCAACGACTAATGATTTTGATAAATGATGTGAAATGTTTGAAGAATCAACACACTGAATTGGACTGAAACTCCGTGTTGATTTGAGATAAGTATCACGACACAGTCAAAAAGAGTGTGAGTGGGCATGCGCATATGAGTGTGTCTTCCTAACCAACAACTCACTCACATTTATTTATACATCCAGTCCAGTCTTAGATCTAGATCCACACTGAAGTCCACAATCATAACATCAATGCAATCATCATTCTTGTTTTGACATATAGAGAATGATTTAAATTGCAATACAAAAATCATTTATGAAGAAAAACGATGTTAAATGATATTTTCGATCGAAAAAAAACAGTTACAATAATTGACAAATAAGTCGAGAGTATCCAAACGATTCGATACTTATTGTAAAATTTAGCTGAATCGATATTTGTTTTTAGTGAAGATCAGAGAAATGATTGACTAAATTCATAGTCTTATTTGTCCTAAATCTTGTTCTTTTGGCTATACTCTTCATATTCTTGTCTTCCATTTCATTCCATGAGTGCTTCTGTGTATTCATGCGAGTGAATAGTAGATATAAGAGGCATGTCTTGAATTCTATCATTTTGAAGTCAACAATTTTTACAGTTAGAAAACATTTGTGTTAATGGGATAGTTTTATGTCGTTCGAGTTGGAAAAATAAACAAGTACATATATGATTATTTTTCCTATTTCATGATCGTCGATGAGTGTTAAAGTGTATAAAACGATAAAATAATACTTTCGTTCTTTCCACAGACTGATAGACATGCTGATATGCTACTAGGTAATAATCTGAACCATTTTTGATTTTTTCATTTAGGTGTTTCAGCTTTTAAATAGGTTTTTGAGTGACAAATGAATTTAATGATTAAAAAGAACACATTATTTGGGAGTCAGATAATAGAGAGAGAAAGAGAAGTAGTGTGTTTATGTGTGCTCTACGCAGTTTTTAGTGCAAACATTAGCGTAATAGATACATTAATACATATATTGTGGTGAAAAGAAGGATGATAATAACGGATCACTATATACTGAGAGGGCAAAACTTATATTACAAGTGTTCTGACAATGCCTGTAATAATAAAATATGAGAAAATAGCCTTTAGTGTTTTTTTTTATAGTTCGCCCACTTTTTTTATATATGTCGAAACAACAGCAATACGATTTTCTGCTGGTACATATTGAACTGTTTTAGCTGGTGCAACACGCTTTTGAAATGAAATAGTAGGTTGTGACATACCGATCTTGTGAAGACAATATTTTCGAAATTCTCTGAAAGTAATTAAAACGATTGTTGAACTAAATGTGTAATTTAAATAGACGATAAATGTTGTTATTGCATCAATGTAAACTGAATAAGTAAGATTCAAAATTGTTTGAAAAAAATCATATAAGACCCAAGGTGACCACGTTACAAGAAACCAGATAAGAAACAGATGAATGGAAAAGAGAAGGCGTCGTTGATTTCCACTGATAGCAAACCGTCGTTGTTGACGACCATAACCACCACTAAAACATTTTCGATGGAAATAGATACCAATGAGACCCAACGAAGATATTATAATAAGAAAATAGGGTATGAATGTGATAAGCAAATCGAATGTTTCGTAAATATCACGGGTATACCACAGATCACAAGTTTGTGTGTCCAAAGGATCATCCAAATCAATTGTCGAAGCTCCATTCTGCATGATAACCGGATAATAAATGCAAGGAAAAGCAATAGCCACGAATAGGCCGATGTAGTGAAGATAGATAGCAAGTGAAGAATTCTGTTGACGACCTCGTCGAAAAATGAACGGTTTCGCCATAAGAAAGAAGCGTTCAATGGAGATATGTACAAGAAGAAAATTATTGATTTGTGTTGGAATGTAGTCAAGATAGACAGAAAGTTCGCACAATGCAGTACCAGGCCGAGGTAAACAACCGTTGTGGTAATAGAAATAGAGTCGTATTGGTCCTTGCAGAAAAGCAAGTAGTGCTTGAAACAGACAACTCAGTAAAAGTGCATGACTTTTCACATTGAATACTTTTTTTGCTTGTAAGACGAAAACCAGCACGAAAACGATGTTGAGAAGAATGCCGAGAGGAACAGTGACGCAACTTATACCGAATAACACTCGATACATGGGAACAACGTCATAGCCAAGCTCGTCTTTTAAATCACAAACAATGGTGACCAAAGTCGTTTGGTTACTTTGATTATTCATATAGATATTGCAGTGAAGAACGTCTTTTTCTAAAAGAAGAATATGACGTTTAGTTACTTCGTCCAATGCAAAAGTATCAAATGTTTTTTTTTCTCGTCATTCAAAGATAAACTTTTCTTGCTATATCTTTCTCTCAAAATAAAAAAAACCGAGAACAAAGAATGAGCTCTTGCTGGGAAGTCATTTAGTGTCAAGAAAAGATTCCTGGCGTGGTATATCGACATGAATGATAGCATGTCATTATTGCCCTGAAACTTACCCATTATTGTTATCAGTATAAATTATGTGTCACGAAACACTGCCAGCACCCGTGTCTTCTCATTTGCGAACAAAAAACTGAAGTTCCGGAATTACTAATTCAATATCATTCTTTTTTCTTTAAATTATTTAAAAAGAAAACAATCTTAAGTCTCAAATTTTTGTTGTTTCAATTCTTAAAAATTTACTAATATCAATTTTGAGAAAACTTATTTTGTGATATAAATTATTTTTGAAAAAATAACTCAACAATTTTAAGAAAGTTTATAGATTCAATATTACTTTGAACTAACTGCAGCTTACAGAGTTCGATAATTGTTTGGCTTCACTATAGGTGTTTTAATGAATTGCAATCTGTTGAGTGGACAAAATGAATGCTTTTCTTTTTTTTTAATTAACTGCAGTTTATAGAGTTCGCTAAACATCATTGTTACTATATATATCATGATATTTTTTTCTCAAACTTGAACACACAATCTAATTATGACTCGAGGCACAGTGCAGCCATCGTTGACGAATTTCCTTTTTTTTTTTGTTCATTTTTTTGTATTCTATTTTCTCGATATACGCCTCAAGATGTGTCATTATGTGTTGTGATGATTTCGAAGACGGAGATTCTGAAAATACTTGATCAAACGTGATTTGAAAACATTGATATTGACACTGATATCATTTTTTCCGAACAGTCATAAGAGGATTCCGCTTCCTCCTTAAAAGAGCTCTAAAAGGACAAAATTTTGACGAACGTAATCTTTTTTTTGCACCTTGAGATAATCATTATCTGTGAATACAGCTTATTATAGACAATGAATCATGTAGATAGTTAAATAATGAATCCGTGTCGTTCGTTAGAATTCTCCTAATGATGAATTTCACCATGTTTACTTTTCAATTACTGTCCTACTTCCATTAAGTGATCAGTCGAAACGTGAATATTATAATTCACAGGCGTAGAAAAAAGGTCGAATGCAGGAAACCATAAAGATCATTTGGAAAAGGCGATTTTTCATGAATCGTAAAACTGATCATTCGTGTTTTACGAAGTATTTCATTTTTCCTAATAGTCAAGATTCGTGCTTTGGATCGAATTTCACTTGAATACTGTCTAGTTTGTTTTCTCGACCTATCACTCAAATCATTACTATGTGTCGCTATGATCTGAAGATCGAACAGTGGTGCAATTTCTATTCAAACATTGTCACGAAGTTTCGTTTTTCTTTATTAATAGTCTTCTTTAGCTCTATGAACATGTTGTTCTTAAAAGAACATTTAAGCACAAGAGACGTACATACCGATAGTAAATTGAATTAAAATAAAATCAGAGGAAAAAAAAATAGAAAAAAAGGCAAACAAATACAATATGAGGTAACCAAAAAAAATCTATATAGGATCGGAAATAATATTATTTCATAAGGTAACTCTATGATTTCACATAGCATCAATAACAAATTCTATAAGAAATTAAAGTGCGTCAGAAATGGGATTAATCGGAACTAAATAGTAAGGGTTATAACAACTTTTCAATGTCAAATCAAGAAAATGTCTAGAATTTTTTGCTATATCAGCATAGGAAAATTCTTCTTACAATGCAGTTCAAAAGTAGATTTCATTTAAAATGATGAATATAATCGGTAATAAATTAGTCTCATGATTATTAACGTTGTTTTCAACACTAGTTTTACACATCTCAATATTTGTAGTTATGATTGTCAAAGCACCTGAAATGTGTATTTTCAGAGTTTCCTCGTGATAACAGTTATGTTTCGTCTATAAAAATCCTTTTTTAACTCCATTTTTTTGATTCTTTTTCTGATGTTTTCAGTCCAGATGTGGGTTGTTTTGTGATATTTATCATTGAAATTGAAATCTACTTTGAACTGCATTGTAAAAAGACTTTTCTATGCCGACATGGTATAAAATTCTAGAAATTTTCTTATTTCAACATTGAAAAGTTGCCCTAGTTCTTACTGTTCAGTACTGATAAATCCTATTTTTCACACGGTTTAATTTTTTTGTATAAAATTTGTTGATGCTAATAGAAACTACAGGGTTATGCCCTGGAATGATATGATTTCCAACCCTATATATATATCTATTTTTTCTTTCTTCTCTCTCGTTCTTGCCTTTTCTAGACTTACATCTCAAGCCTCAATCCAAGTTATTATTACTTTTTCTTCTCCTCTTTTTTTGTCGCCATAACCTAGAATCGACTGTCTAGAAATTTTCTGGAAACAACATAAAGCATAAAAATTTTTCTTCATTGCAGAATAAAACGGACTCCAAAGTTCCATGTGTCGCTATCCATCTAAACGCTTGTCCTGATACTTTCATGTGTAGTACAAACGTTTTTGATCTATGAAGACACCGTGTTCGTCCTGTGCATGTTCAGTTCTGGTTGTTCCACTAGCAAGAATCCATCTTTAGACTACAAAGTTCTGTTTATTCTCTATTGGCTCCACAAAATAAAGATTTTTAAGCGAGGTTCTAAATTTGGATACTATTTTCTGAATCTTTTGAGATTCTAGCAAAATATGGTTCTATCTTGAATTTTGTTTTTCTTCTTCCATAAAAGGTTCGATTCTGGTAAAAACTTGTCCATCCAACACACTTACTCTAGTAACGCTGATTAATTCTATGTCGGACCCATGATTTCTATTGGTAACTCTTAATGTTTACTCTTAACTCGTTGTTCTTATATGTAACTCCATAATTCTACGGTTAAACCTTTATTGTAATGTCAAACTCTTTAGTCCTATATCAATTCTTTGAATTCCATATATAACCCCCGATTTTCATGCTTAAACCGTTAATTCTACGTTGAACTAATTATTTCTATTCTTAGCCCCTTGTCTTTATGTTTCGGATTTTTTTATTTCCATCGTAAGCCTTATGTATGTTTGTCTAAACCATTATATCTAACGCGTCTGCAGTCTAAATCTAATTTCATATGTCTATGTTTCATTTCTTTACGTATACATGATCTGATGTATATGCATCTATTGATCAGCTGCATGCATTCATCTATATCTATATTCATGCTAGTAAATCGGGTCGGACGGTTGCATGTTTACTCCTGCCTCTTTTGTCTATTAATCTTTCTGAATGCTAAATTAAAATTTAACAAATTTTGCTTTCTCTAAAATAACTGGAGCACGACGGCAGTCAAGTAAGGCAAAACTGAATATATTCAAATGATTTGAATTCGCTCGACAGACAAACATTATATCATACGGAGAAGTTTTAGCAATTGTTGATGTCAAAACGGTCAAATAGTTAACGTCAAAAAAGCTGTATCAAAGTCATTATTGAAGTAATTCATGAAGTTCAAAAGATAGACAGTTATTTAGCGTGTAGAAATCCTGTTTTCTGCTAACAAACTGCTCAGATTTCAACGATTTAGCAAAAAATTTGTGTTGATCCTATAATCCATGCTGATCATGTCGCCACAGAGGTAGCTTCGCATAGAAAAATACCACATGTCAATGTAATAATGAAATATGCAAATGTAATTGCAAAGTGAAGGATAAATATTTCCGTGTAGGAACGATTTCAACCCGTACTGTTTCTAATTACTGAACAGCTGTGTTTGTTATGGAGAGGCGGATAGTTTAAGGCAAAATTTCCTGAATATAGTATGTTTGATAGGCATGCTACGAAACTTTCTTTGCTTTGAAAACTGTAGAGGATTTTATTCGGAACTCGTGTGATGAGAACACTTTTAGTGAGGTTTCGTGTATTTATACTATAGACTGAAGGTAGAGTGAAGTTCTGCAAAGTTTCAGAGGATTTCGTTTAGTACTTTTATTCGTTAGTGTAGTTCAAGTGAGTGACGTTAGAACCACCTTTCTGAAAAGGAGTTCAGCATTAAAAAAAGTGTGAAATAGAATTATTCTAAACATCTGGAGCCGTTTTTCATACATGAAATGGCTCTTTTAATTTTCTAGAAACTTTGATGGTTTAATGATAACCAAATGGGACTTTGAAAAATTCACCATTTTCGCTAGTACGCTCAATAATTCCTATGAGACATTTTTTGCAGGAAGTGGGCATGAGATAATGAAAACGAGTTTCAGCAACATCAGCGATTAGATTGGATGATGCTGACATCTTTAAAAGTTTTTGTTGTATCGAGGATCAGTTGTGGAAATTTAAAGTATATTTTTCTCTTGTAATTTAAGCCATTCCCCTACCTCAAAAACTACTTTCGTATCAAGTCAAGTAAA